ATCCGAAACGTCAGGAAAAAAAATAAAGTCCTTGTTCCAGTGATCGCATCTTTTTCTTCGGTACTCCACGTTTTTTGGGAAGGCCATGGATTTTCGCTTTCCGCTCTGCACGAATTGAGTGCGAGAATTGAAATATTCCCCAAGCTAAGACACAGACCAGCCGGGAGATCCGCATGGAGAGGTTTTATTAAAAAGTAGATGGCGTGGGATCCTATCAAATGCTGAGGAGTGTTCGAGAAAAACACAGCCGTATTCACGGCAGCCCTTATCTTAATCTCTTAGAGCAGAAGTGTCTACCAGAGCAACATCATATAGTGTACGCGAATTGCAAGGGATCGGTATTATTTTAAGAAAACGGCGTGATGATGTCTAAGCCGACTCGTTCTGCAAGTTTCAATAGTTCAGAAGAGCAGGCAATTGGACGAAAAGATTTTGGACCAGAAGAGGTGGGTTTTTTCGGGATGAGAGTGAAATTATAATAAAAGGATTAACAACAACAATCTTACGCCCGTCGTAGGCTTCATGCGGGCTGATATGTAAGACACCCGACGAGAGTTCACGTCCGCGAGGCAGGTACGACTGTCATCAATACGTCAGGTAGTGTGCTATGAATGGGAGTACAGAGTTCTGATATGCCGATGTACGGCAGGACATATGTCGGAAACTTCGGCACACAGTACGGGAAGACTTGGCAGCCACTAATACTGAGTGAAGTGGATGAACAACCTCATCAAGAATGCGATCAGCAAATTACTTGACCGTTTTAAAATTTTGCAGTAATATAATATCTGCTAAAAAGCATAAGAAACACCGGCAGCTGAAGAGAGTATTATGAAGATACATTTAAAAATCAACGGGTCTTTTGTAGCAAGGCTGGAAAGTAACTGGAGAGCAGTAGAGAATGAGGTGAAGAACGCAGACATCTATAAATAGTCAGATTAGGGCTTGAGGTGGGTGTATGTGATATGAACGTAGCCGACGGATATAATATATAAATTTACGAATTTTAATGAAGGGGCTTTAATATGAAAAGTAGATGAAAGATTAGATATCAGAGTAACATCAAGGCACCGGAAAAAGTGTTCGTCATTGGGCGGGATATCTAAGGATTCAAGGCTGGGAGAGGACCACAATCGGAAGACCATTGGCTAACGACCATGCTGAGACGTGTTTAAGGCCATCTTTCAGTACCTGGAGAGGAATCTGACATTTAAGAGGATTACCAACAACCGTATCATCCTTTCACATATCTCTCATATTCCAGTGGCGATACCAAGTCAAGCTGGCCAGACGTACGTAAGAGTACGGTGGCTCGTGAGGCTTGGTCCACGTTTATACATGCAACACAGAGTCAATTAGTAGACCCACATGAACCAACGCTTAATAAGGACTCTTATCGGAGATGTTAGGTGGACAACGGGAAGATTTCCTGAATCAGGAGTAAGGGAAGACTGATTGGGTAAGACGAGCGTTACTCAACGAAAGAGCTTACAAGGGACCCTACCAGTAGTTTCCACTAGCTATCTCAAGGTAATAAGT